TTTTTAGCTTATATTTAGAACAGTAATTTATGGGTCAATATTTGTGAACTATAATAATTAATTATTTTAAATCAAAAAACCGACAAAGAACTGTCTAAAATTTACTTTAAACATTAACATGTTATATAATTATAAAAACATAAAAATTGATAGTTTTCCCAGTACTGAATAATCTTTCACTAAACACTTAAGGTTTATAGTGAAAACACAGAAGGTGTTTAGTGAAAACACAGAAGGTGTTTAGTGAAAACACAGAAAGTGTTTAGTGAAAACACAGAAGGTGTTTAGTGAAAACACAGAAGGTGTTTAGTGAAAACACAGAAGGTGTTTAGTGAAAACACAGAAGGTATTTAGTGAAAACACAGAAGGTGTTTAGTGAAAACACAGAAGGTGTTTAGTGAAAACACAGAAGGTGTTTAGTGAAAGGTATTAAGTAAAGCTCATTATTGTTTTGCTAAGCATGAGACATTTCATGAGACAATTTCTTTTGCTGCCAGGAATTTTATCTAATTGACTTCGCTGACTTTGTAAAAAAAAAATATTTAGTGAATAATAAAATTTTTTATTTAAAATCTGTTTTAACAATTTAGAAATTTCATCAACTTATTTATTGTAATTATAGAGCAAAGTGAGTGAAATGAAGTTTTAAGAAAAAAATCATAAATGTATAGAAATTTGCATTTTTAAAAAGCTTTTTGTAATAAATACTTAAAGTTTTTAAAACTCATTAATGAATACTACACTGAAAATATTTTATATAATTGTTTGTTACAGTTTGAAATAAAGCATTTCTTTTATCTACTTAGTATGAAATGTTTTGAAGAAAAAAATTGATAAGTTCTTATTTAAAATTTTACATAAAAAAATTTTTTATAGTTCTTCTGTTTCTTTGATTTTGTTAATTACTTTTGAAACTTGATAAAACATATATGTATGATTACAACTTTTTTCTGCTGAAGATCACTCAAAAGATTACAACTATTTTCTGCTTAAGATCACTCAAAAGATTACAACTTTTGTTGGTTAAAGGAGTGATTACCAACAACATACACTGTCGTGTGTAAAAAACCTATTGATGTTAAGTTTATGTATTTTGAAAGAGCAAAAGTTGGAACTGTAAGCAAGCGTCAAATCGGATTACATGATAAGATTAAAATCAGAAAACTTTTATCTTTTGAATTTTTTTTTATTATTTTTTTTTTAAAGCTTTATTTTTTCTGATTTTCTAGAAAAAATTTGAAGAATTCAATTTGTGTTTCTTCTTTAAATGACACCTCATGGATTTATTTGTTCAATTGGATGGATTCATTTGTTCAATTGGATGGATTCATTTGTTCAATTGGATGGACTCATTTGTTCAATTGGATGGATTCATTTGTTCAATTGGATGGACTCATTTGTTCAATTGGATGGATTCATTTGTTCAATTGGATGGACTCATTTGTTCAATTGGATGGACTCATTTGTTCAATTGGATGGACTCATTTGTTCAATTGGATGGATTCATTTGTTCAATTGGATGGACTCATTTGTTCAAGATGTTCTTACTCTTAATATTTTTATTTTGCAAAATTTACATATTGCTTTTGAAAAATTTCAAAAATATCAAAATACTCCTAGATTGGACATACAGTTGCTTTGCTTATAAATTACTATTTCAAAGTATATTATTTAACAACTAATAAAATTCATTCCTATAAAAAAGTTAAAAAATTACATTAAAAATAATTCAAAATACAATACATATTTGGTTATACAATATAAATATATATAATCAATCTCGATACATCTGTATCAACCTGTACCCATTAACATCAACCGAAGCTAGGCTTTAGTGCCACTCTTTGTTTCAGCCTGGTTTTTTGTCATGAAAACTAGGCACAGTAAAGTTTCTTAAAATAAAATGACAATTTTGTTGAAATGATCTGGATATTTCAAATATAAATACATGATTCTTAAATTCTGATCACCACAGACTAAAACACAGATAATCTGTGGCCCATATGGAATAACAAATAAAATATTTATATAAAAAAATTGATGAGATTGAAATTAAACGATATAAAAATGTCTAAACACCAACTGGACATAATATTTAAAATTGTTGCATTATATGTGGTTGTGTGTTGTGCAGCATGTGCATGACTACCTCCCATTATTTTTCCACAGTAACAGTTTTTTTAATATTGAGTCTCTTGTTCCACAATCTCTACATCAAACATAGGTGGAATGCAATTCATGCATTCTGCCTGTATTTGAGCTTTTTCCCCATTTTCATAAGTCTAGTTCCATCAACTAAAACTCATTCTCACTTGACTGGCTATTCAGCAAAGTCTCATTTGTTAACTGTATCTGTCTTTACATGCTCTAAAAACTTTTATTTGTCTAGCTTTTTTCCCTGTACATATATATATATATATATATATATATATATATATATATATATATATATATATATATATATATATATATATATATATATATATATATATATATATAT